CTTTCATGGTTAGTGCCCTTTATCACACAAAAAGTTTTCAAATCAGATTTGATGAGTTCATTCAGCAAATGCTCTTTGAGAGCACAGCAGTGAAACAAACAAAGCCCCTGCCCACGTGGAGCTTACCTTCAAGGAGTAGAGATAATACAACACCAAAACCAAACAAATATGTGATATGTTATAGAACAATAGCCAGTGATGAGGATAGTAGAGAGCTGAATGCATAAGATGTGGGGACATGTTTAAGAAGGAGGTTCCAAGCACGTGCAATAGGACCTATAAAGTCCTTAAGGCCAGAGTGATCTCACATTAACTCAGTTGCATTCATGGCCATTACTCAGAGGTTAATAGTTCTTTTTGAAAGGACTTTTTCCCTTCTCCTTGGTAGCTAGAAAGGATTGTCTGCTGCCCTGAAAAGCATCCAGTCTTGATTGTATGCTGGTTGGAATAAACACAATTAGATGACAAAGAAAGGGGGTGATTAGGGAATTAGGCTCCCAAATGTGGTTCAGGATGTGAGTATCTTTCTCGGAAAAGGTTGTTCTGGGAAAGGACTGATTTCTGGTTGAAAAGTCGGGGCAGGAGAAAGGATGAGGAGCTTTGCAAGTTGTCACAAGACTGTCTGCCTGCTGTAGCTGTGAAGAGTCTAGGCTTACCTCCACAATTTTTCTCAATGACAGGGCAAAGTCGGGCCTCTTTCTGACAGGGGTGGGCAGGAGCCTCAGCCACGTGTGCACTTGACAGTTCATGGCTATAAACATCCATTGCTTATCTCCTGAGTGCAAGGTTCAGGCAGGGATGCTGCGTGGTAGGAGAGAGGGAAGGGTAGGATACAGTGGTGGGAACTCCATATTCCTTTCATTCCCCTGGGAACTAACTACTGTCAAGTGGGGCAGTGGAGAGGGTGGACTCACACAAAGAGAGAACTTTGAATGCAGACTGGCAGGCATGCAAAGAGAGTTACAGTGGGAGTGTGGAGCGGGAGACGTTCACCCCAGAGTTCTCTGCTGGAGGGATCAGTTTAAGTTCAGTTCAGTTCAACATAAATTAGGCAACTATTCTGTGCTGAGTGCGATGCTGTGTCCTGAGATTATAAGAAGGTCAGAGTTTAGTGGGAAAAATAGGATTGTGGGCAATAATTGTGGTGTGAATAGAAGCAAAGAAGAGTGACAGCCACCCCAGCTTGGATGGGTTATTAAGGAGTAAAGGCTTTCCATAGCTAGTGATTTTCAGGTGGAGCTTACAGGATGAGTAGGAGGTAGTTTGGGAAGCGGGTATAGAGAAAAAAAGTTCAAGTGAAGGGAAAAATAATGAGAGCAAGACTCAGGAGCTGGGAAGCAGCTCTTAGAGTGTTAAGTGGTAAGGCAGGAAATAGTAAGTTGGGGTTGAGAGGGGGTGGGGCCTGCCACAAAGGACTTTGTATGTCAGTTAAGGGGGGCTGCTCAGAAACTATTCCCCAGTGAAAAGCCCTTACAATAGTGCACAGCTTAATTCCATTTAGGTCTGATGTTGTGTTTTTAAAATGGATTTAGTGTTCCTAATTTTTTGGCATTAGGATACAGCTAGATTAACTATTAATAATTTATTTTTAAATCTTAGTGTATAAATTACTTCTTTGAAAATAAAGGCACATCTTGGCAGGACCAGATTGACAACTCTCATCTGGTGCTACTTCCCACTCAAGTTCAGAGGCAAAACTGTCATTTATGAAAATCAGAGCATGAGTATGGAAAAACTAAATGGTGACAATATGACATCACAGAGCAATCACAGTTAAGTTTAAACTACGTAAAAGCCTCTCAAATATGAAATAAATAGGTTTTTAAGTGGTGAAGCCATAGCTAATTAAGTAAACTAGGTGTCAGTAACTGAAAATGAATTGACATTTTAAAGAAAAATAACTTAAAAAGGAAACAAATTGCTTTCTTAGAAATGTTTAAAAATTATGAACTCACTTCCAGTGAGTCCAAAAACTGTGTATCAACTAGTGGATAAAAAAAATATTCTACTTAAACCAGTTTGCTTTAGAATAACCAATTCTCTTAAAGCTGGAAATAAAAAATGAAATAAAGTAAAATTAATGAAAACATTGCCCAACAAGCAGGTCACACTTAATTGCTCAACACTAAATTTAAAAAAAATTATAATCTCAAAAATCTGACAAATTCTAAAGCATTCAAGAAAGGCTACAGACAGATATTTTGTATACAAAAATTACCCTCAAACCTCAATTCACTCTCAAAAGGAATTAGTAAAAGTTTACATATGCATAAAAATTCTAAAAATTCACTGTACTTGGTACACAATATATGGGAGACTTTGTGACAAGAAATGTTTATCTTTGACCTTGCATGCTGAAGCTCATAACTCCTTTTTCAATACAGAATTGTGGGATCTAATTGGGACAAACCAAAATAAATATACACCCTCCTGAATTTTCTTGTTTGAAATTTCGCTGTGAGTAATTCGAAAGAAACATTAGGCTCTTCTAAGAAAGAAACATTTAGAGTTCCTTCCAGTGATGCCTTTCAGTGTTTGCAAAAGGTAAAAATCTAGCAGTGCTGTAAATTCTTTAAAAAGAATAAGTGCCTCCAGAATATTTATATATATANTATATATATAGGCCAAATATAGTATATAAATTATTTAAAATCTCCATACCTAATGTTTAGATAAACATTCACTTTTGGAAAAAAATCTTTTTTTCTTCATTATAACGGACAATTACTTGACCGTCTGTCCTCATTAAGTGGATATTTGTTAAGCCTCATTTTTATATTTGTATGTACCTTTCTCTGAACTAACACCACCTTGGTGTGGACTTTGTGATACTGTCACTGAAGACTTTAGAGACTTCCATATTTTTCACATTGCAGGCATTAATTAATCCCAAATGCTAAAGGAAGTAAAGCCAAATGGTGAATTCTGTAGAGCCGGAACTCCCATGCCTCTAGTCCATGGAATGATTTGATCAGCCTCTGCTTGTGGCAGCACAATCCATGTAAGAAACAGAGGAGTGAATCAAAGCATCCTTTTAAACATACCTAGTTTGTCTAAATCATTTCCCAAAAAGTCCTTCTAAAATCTGAGAAGGCTGGTACATCATTAATCAGATGTTAAGTTACAGGTAGTATAGTAGGACTGGAGTGGGCTCAGGTGAGTCTAGTCAGGATCAGTAACAGGTGTGTCTATACTATAATTCTGACTTAATTGTGGCCATTTGATTTATTGAGTTGCAACTCTACAGAGGCCAGAAGATGAACTGCTTCTCTTCTCCCAGGGATGCACATATTTTTGTTAGGCAATCTGTGAGAATGC